TGGGTCCTCATCCCAGTGATGGCAGATGGAGCGGCGGTGCTGAGGGAGCTGCAAAGCCACGGTGAGGCCCGTGCTGGTGTCATGGAAAGCTAAAAGCCCTTGTTAACTTTTATCGTACTTGGGTTTGGTAAGAGCAGACGTCAAGTATCCACGAGAAAAGCCAGAAATGTACATGTTCATGGAGCTGGAAGGACCAGGGAGGAACCAGCTCCGGCACGCTCCTGTCTGCGTCCTTCCCCACCAGGCAGCCCCCCAACTTATGCTGGTGTTTCCTCCAGCTCCTGCGCCAGAAAAACCCCTCGGTCCCCTAAATCCCACAGCTAAGGGGGTGTTTGGGTCCCAGCGACAGACCGACCCATCCTTCGGCTGATACCAGGGAGTGAGGTGGGGATGGTGACAAAACCGGGAGGGGAGGCAGTGGGCAAGTGACTATCGACCAGGGAAGGACGGGAGGGAGCCCCAAAACAGCCTTACCGGTGACTGGGAGGGCGTCAGCGGGGCGATGCTGCAGCTGTCGCAGGGCATCCCGGGGGAGGTGGGAGGGGATGGCGTGGGGCACCGCTGGCTGCTGGCACCTGGAGACACAGCAGGGGGATGCTGGGATGGCGACAGGCCCCAGCATCTCCTGAGGACCATTCCCCGAGGTGGGGGCAACATGTGACGCCCTAACAACGGAGCCACTGCGGGTTTGGCAGCGGAGGGGTCAAAGCTGCTGCAGGGGCTGTTCCCGGTGGGCTGCACACAGGGTGACTCTGGGCTTGGGAGGCTTCCCACGCTTGTTTCAACCATGTGTAAGGGAGAATCTCAGCAGTGATTAAATTAGCAAATGAGGGGCCCCTTGGAGGTGTTGGGAGGAGGTGCAGGAAGTGGCTGCACCTGGTGCCAGCACTGGTGGGCTTGCAGGGACCCTTCCTTCCGGGTATGGGGCTTATGGAGAGAAAGTGGATGGTGGTCAGAGAAGAGCTACAGGACTGGGTGACCTTCTCCCCCGGGGCTGGGGGATGGCAGCTCTTGCTTGGTCATGGTGCTGCAGGGAGGAGTTCAGCTCTCCGGTGTGGGCAGGTTGCGGCAATGGGACATGGGCTCCTGTGATAGTTTGATGTGTGGGGG